TTAATCCATGCATAAGTTCTGTAATATGCTGAGGTCTAACTTAATGCCTTATTCTCAGAAATCAAAATGGGTCAAGCATTTACATCAGTGTTGATCTCTACGTTATAAATGTATAAAAATCTTAACAGTTTGTGCCTGAAACTTAGTACGTTAGTTTACACAAGAATGGATGAGATCTTCCAGAGTCCTGGCTGTTACATTTTTATTCAATTGCATTTAAGTTACTGATTGATAAAGGAAATAACCTATAGCAATTAAGTGCACCTCCCATCAGGCTGACAAAGTAGTGGCACTGAAATCTATAAAGCTGTATGTGGTCCGACGTGTCCAACTATTAGCCAAATGCAGCCTGGGGCAAAAAGTTGATTTAACGAAAAATTCACTGGCTCACTGGAAACCAATTTTATATTGTTTTATCATTTTTTAGCCAACACACTCTTAGCAAAGCTAAATAATAGTTTAAGCACAAATTAGTGCTTTTTATTAAATTTCAAAATTACAATTTAGTGTATATTATTGATTAATATTAGCAAATGAGTTAAAGCAGGGATTCAATCTGTAATTGTAATTTGAGAAATTAAGTGTACTGAAAAAATTAAGATCATACTTTGCACTGAACTTGCATTCCAATATTGTTTAGATTTGTTTCTCTGTAAAATTAAGGGAGGCAATATTTTTATGAGAGGCAGGTGAAAACTTTGTTTCTAAAATTTGCATCAGCTTTATCTTTCTACAACAGATGCTCAGTCAATCTGTCCAAGGTTAATTTGATAATCACCAATCAATATAGAAATTAACATTGGTATTCACTGGTCAGTTAAGCACTTAAAAGCTCTTTACTGCTCTGCAAAACTCAATTGGTGATCAATACCACCACAATGTAGCTTTTCAACTTTAAGAAACAGATGACAACATACCATGTGTTTCCAAAAGCACAATAAAGAAAAAGTTAAAAGACTCCCTGATTACCAAAATCGATCTCCTTGGTCACCTATAACCCCAAAGGTCATGGACATTGTGTAGAGGTCAACAGATGAGACTATCCTCTGGAATAGATCAGACATTTACTCAAAGCCTGAGCTTTTCTACCAAACAATATTTAAGAAATGACAGTTTAAGATAAAATGTCAGCAACTGTTTAAAAGGGCTGCAATATAATGAAATTCTTCAATTAAATAAATTATTGCACAGGTGAGTTAATTGCATAAAAAGCTTAAAAATGTCAGAATTGAATGCTTTTCCAACTTCAATGTGAAAAACAATTATTGTTGCGCCATTTTATCCCTCTTAGTCAAGGTGTACTGTTGTTTACAAGCAATCTTCAAATTACCAAATGCTTTCCATTCATCAACAGTTCTAAAAGCAAGGCAATATTTATTAATGGCCAACATTAAGTGATGCATTTAGCATTATTTATAATACTTAATATTTACTTGAAAGTGTAAAATGTTTGTTGCACCTCTGTTCATCACCCATAGTGGCTGCTTTGCTGCCATTCAACTTCCTTAGGCAATTCTGGATCATGGATCTTTTTATTGATTTGTTCCATAACTTTTAAAGCAAAGATTGAAAGTGCTCTGCCCCAGCAGTCTCAATTCCCTCTTTTAAAATGTCAAATTGAATGGTTGATCACAGTATTCCATGTGGCTCATTCCTGAAAAAGCACTGATATACAAATCTTCTCAGTTTGGAAGAGTTCAGTTATTTGTGCCACCAGGCTCATTGTTGCAATTTTCATTTCCAGTGTAATGAGATGCACCTTAAAGAGCCATTTTAACACGAAGTAAAGCAAATGCTCAACTCTTTTGTATTTTCTAAAAAACGTTTATTCCAAACAGGAATGTAAATCACTACAGTATATACTATATACATATATATATTGTGTGCGTGTATATACTCAGTTCCACCTTTTCATAACACTTAGTGGATGCTACAGATGTTAGTTGTCTATCCAGTGTGCAAGGTGTGGTTTAAAACTATATACTGTATTTAAATATATCAAAAGTCTTTCCAACTCGCACAGTCACTTTCTGTTCAGAGACCAGTCATAAAGGTCTACGAATAGAACATATTTTTGAATTCTATAAATTTTTACATAATTTGCCACATTTTCATGCTTACTGTACATCTAGGCTCATACTGATTCAGAGCATACGTTATCCCTTACTAGATTATTCTTGTAAAATCTTAGTACTTTACACAAAATTAAACATGTAAAAAATACAAACTTTACACATGTAATACATTAAACAGTCAAATATTAAAAGAGATATCATGTTTTAGTACTGACTTGATGGGTCTTTAAACAAAAAAAGGTAATTATGTTTCCAAATATATTCTCCAGCTTTCACACATTACAAATGAAACTTCATGTTTTACTGTTGCTCTTCATTACTTTACGATACTGTAATCTAAAGATTTTGAATAATCATTCTCCAAACTTTCAAACTTCGTTACCAGTTTTAACACCATTTTACAAATGTGCTTATTTCATCAGTTCTTCCAAAAGTATGCCATTACTTTTTATCATTTCAAACTAGGTTAACAGGACTATCCAGTCTATAAAGGTGCTTTCCCCTCACACCAATAATGTTCAATGGCGAGCAAGAGATGCAACTCTACAAGATCTGCTTTGTCCTGTTTAATCATCATGAAGTATACGATTTATTACATAGTCTAGAAGATGCTTTCCTGAAAAGGTGTACCACTGGGAACAAAGAATAAAACTGTCTGACGAGAGACCCGACCATCTAAGGAACAACTATCTCCATTTATCAGCACTTTGGATAATGTGGGAGAAGGCTGCCAAATTATTGCCAACACAGGGTAGACAATGCATACATTTAAGAGTTTAATTCACCACCATCACCTTTTCTGAAATAAGCTAAGTGAGAAAGTATAAGGTAATGAATGTTTGTTTATCTGCGCCTCTAAACAATAATGTAACATTGTGCATTCAACCAAAAATTTAAACAGAAATACAATCCTTCCATGCATTCATTTTTAAATTCCTGTTTGGGGTCAATTCCATATGTGACAAGAACACTCTATACAGTAGCTCACTCAAGTAGTCACAGAAAGTCTTAGAAAGCAATTGCTACTTGCAGCCCTGAACAGTTTTGGTCCACACCGAACAACCATAAACATGTCATTTCTAATGGTAGCTCCTGGACAAGATACAGCAAAGAATCCCTAGATAACTGTGTTCTTGTGTTAAGCAAAAGGTCAAAAGGTGAATAGTGGCACCCCAATAATGCTTAAACTAAGATCACGTAACTGTTCAAATCAGGACTCCAGAATCTAGGACCTTCCTTTGTATATGCTTTGATCATAGCACATAATCTGTTTGCCAACTTAATCATTAAGGAAGCTCCATGAAAATAACAAAGTAAAATGATAACTTTTCCTCACCAAAAATATTCTGTGCCGATGTCTCTTTGCTTACTGTTCAAAATTGTAAAAATTACATGATAGCACCACTTTCCCCTCTCAACAGGAAAGTATTAACACATGCATGGTTTATTTCAATAAACGCTGGCAGCCCACGAAATCCCATTCTGACCTACAAGAGTTAGCATGGTATGTACACATAGCTAATAATTGGGACTGGGGGACTCTAGGTAACTTTCTCTTCCTTCGTTCAGAGGTTAGATTCAGTACCTTATTGTAACTAACTGAAATTAAACAATGCAGCATAGATTAGGGACTAAACCTGAATAATTTAGTTCTATACAGTGCTTTTCCACACTGAATAATAAGCGCTTTCAGGGAACTTGCAGTAATTTTAATCAAACTTTCTTCATTCTACACTGTTGCAGAATTTCCCCCATAACATCAGCCCTTTGTCACATAATGCAGTGTTATCCAAAATTATTTCATCACTGTCATACTATCTCGTCAAGTTTAGATTGAAACCTACTGCCTTCAAAAAAAAAAGCTCATGGCAGATTCCAGTGTACCAAGCCACCTTAATTATAATATTAAAACTAGTTTACGAATATGTAAAGCAGTTACAAGGCAGAACATACCTTTAGGGTTTCAATGAAATTCAAACTGTTGTCAAATAATTTAGGGAACTTTAGAATACCTATAATATCTATTATTTCACCCTTGAACATACTCACAAACAGACACACACAACATACACTCAGCGCACACACACAAAACACTGTACATATATATACACATATATAAACTTTAAAAAGATATATTTCTATAATTGATTTTTTTGCATAAATTGTAAGGACATGATTATTAGCCATCTGAATTCTCTCTAGAGCAAGTGTTTAGAGCTATCATAGAAGCTTTCAATGCAAGTACAATCTAATATTCAGCAAATAAAGTACATACTTACTGTATTATCAATTTTAAGCAACTATGAACAGCCAAACATTTACTGTGAAAATACCTGTATTTCATTTAACAGTTCAGTCCAGCTTTCTTTCTGAAATGCATCGAAATTTTTGAATACAAAACTGTAGGGGAGCATGTCATATACGTTATTTGACGTAAACTATGTGGCACATTTTTACAATATGTTCACTGAATTGCTTCCATCAATTTCTGACACAGCAATGGTGTGAATGTAGAAAGCAAGATACAGTAACAGAAAGATCATATGAGCAATAATAAATTTCTCCATATATAATTAGGAGTAACATATTATTAAGTAGTGCAATTAGATATGAAATTGAGAGTCAACATGTCTTGGATGGTCTACAGTTGTCTCAATATGGGCCCGCACGGTCAATGAAAAGGCAGGAGAGGCACGAGGAGAGTTTAGGCTTCAGGAAAACAGCAGACAAAGTCAGCCAGTCTGTCCTAAGTTCTGGAGTGGAATGAGAAAGGAGTGAGGAACTGATATCTGTACAATGTAAATGTTTGCTATATCCAAAGTATAATGTAACTATAGACATGAAGGATAATATGTTAAGTCAGTCTTACAAAATCACTTCTGAAAAGTAATGGGCAACAAAAGTGAAAAAGTTATCCAACAGGCGTTACATATAAAAGAATCCGATTTTTAATCCATTCAGCAATGAAAATCACATTACACACAACACTGAAGAAATGAAACAGAAAAGTTAAGAAAAGCACACTTTATCTTTGGGTCAATAGTCAAAATATTTTTCTTCAATTAGATTTTTTGAAAAAATCCACTGGCTCTGTATTGTTGAGTTATACTTACCCATACATACTTGTTACTCATCAGCAAGAATGACTGCATTTCTTGGAATGCCACTTTAAAGAAATGTCAGATGTGGTCATTGAACATTTACTAATGTGGAGTAATTGTGTGACAAGATCTTTATACATATAAAAACAAATAAATACTGTAAACAAAAAAGGCAGTTCTGGATCATCTTTTAACAGCCTAAAGTCTGCCTTTTGTTCTGCAAAATAATTACACATCGCAACATCTGTATTACATAATGTTATTTATGACTTTTGTTGGTAACATTCAGTCCTTTACACGTGACAAAAGACAGGAGATGTCATCTTCTCAGTTTTGCATCTTCTTTCAAACGCCACATCATTAACTCCATGCAGGCACTTGCATCTTCACTGGAATCGTGTCCTTCAACTAGTAGCAGAAACAAAATAAATGATTGCGATTGCATATTGTAATTTGCAAAGCCCACAGTAATACAGTGCACTAGTTTAAAAGGGTTTATCATTTTTCAAGTTGATATTTAATGACTAGTTGGAGAATGAGGTGAAGTAATAATGGATGATTTGAGTAAAATGACTCCATCACCCCATCTATATCAGATTTGATATGAATTGAAGAGAGTGAAAAGAATTGCTGTTTTATAAAAGATGACGACATGCTGAAAGCAGCAAGATTGGCCAGGGCACAGGACAGGGTGATATAGTCAGTCTTAGCACTCCAGGAAGAATTCTTAATCCAACAAAAGCAGCTAGGAGAAAAGTCACTTCTTTTTGATGGCTTTGAACGGTTACTAAAGGCTACTTAATGTTGCTGTGTCAAAGCAGTGCAATGAAAAAAGGAGTGAGGAATGGATATCTGTACGACAACGACAACACAGAAGTTTGCTGTATCCAAGGTATAATAAGATTCCTCAGCAAAAACTACCTTTAATTTTTTGTCTACTGTAACTTTAAGAAATTTAGTTCATGCCACATGTGCAATTCATCCTTGCGACAGTAATATATAATATGCATCAGTCCCCTTATGTAATGGTATTAATCTTACTGCTACCCTCTTTGAAAATATAATTTATCACAACATTCCCAACCAGAATGAACCATGAAAATGTGTTCTCCTTGATCAGGCCTCTACTTCAAAACCCATCCATTAGGAGATAGTGCACTTGTGACTCAGGTTTTGTTGTCCAAACTTACTGATGTGATATACAGTTGTGAATCCAACAGATATATATTCTCTGTATTACGTTGTACACAGTCAACAATAAAACAAAATCTTTAAATCAACTTTTATACTCAAAGGAGCTTTCACTAAAACTTGAATGATAGTTTCATAACTAGACTCTTCACAAGTAGAAAGGCAACAGCTTAGTGCTTAATTTCTTCAACTGAATGTTTTTGTTCAAACCATAAAACAAACAATAATTATTAGCTTTTCAACTTCTAAAAACATGAGAGGAATCTAAGTGCTGTACATTTTTCAGATCTTCTAATAAAAAAAACTGCATTTGTACTTAATCTGGAGGAGTTATGGTCGGCATTTTACATTCAACAATTCCAAAGGTTACATTACACTCTTGTTTAAGTGCAGGTATAACAAAATTTACACATAATTAGACCTTTGAAATCCCATCCTGATTGCTTTCATTCATAGACTTCATTTATTTCAATGCAAGAGGCCTAACAGGCAAGGCAGATGAACTTAGGGCATGGTTGGGAACATGGGACTGGGTTATCATAGCAATCGCACAGATATGGCTCAGGGATAGACAAGGCTGGCAGCTTAATGTACCAGGGTATAGATGAAATAGGAAGGATACAAAGTGGAGGGAGGGGTGGAGGTCTTTTTGATTAGGAATAACATTATGGCTGTACTTAGGGAGGATATTTCCAGGAATACATCCAGGGAAGTTATTTAGGTGGAACTGAGAAATAAAAAAGAGATGATAACCTTATTAGGATTGTACTATAGACCTCATAATAGTCAGTGGGAAATTGAGAATCAAATTTGTAAGGAAAGCTCAGTTATCTGTAAGAATAATAGGGTGTTTACGGTAGGGGATTTTAACTTTCCAAACATAGACTGGGACTGCCATAGTGTTAGGACTTGGACGGAGACGAATTTGTTAAGTGTGTACAAGAAAAGTTTCTGATTCAGTATGTGGATGTACCTACTAGAGAAGGTGCAAAACATGACCAATTCTCAGGAAACAAGGCAGGTCAGGTGTCTGAGCTATCAGTGGGGGAGTACTTTGGGGCCAGTGACCATAATTCTATTAGTTTTAAAATAGTGATGGAAAAGGATAGACCGGATCTAAAAGTTAAAGTTCTAAACTGGAGGAAGGCCAATTTTCACAGTATTAGGCAAAAGCTTTCAAAAGTTGACTGGGGGCAGATGTTTGCAGGTAAAGGCATGGCTGGAAAATGGGAAGCCTTCAAAAATGAGATAACAGGAACATACTGTCTCTGGACTCTTGTTAGGGTGAAGGGCAAGGCTGGTGGGTGTAGGGAATGCTGGATGTCTAGAGAAATTGAGATTTTGGCCAAGAATAAGAGGGAAGCAAATGTCAGATATAGACAGCAGAAATTGAGTCAATCCCTAGACGAGTGCAAAGGCAGTAGGAATATACTTAAGAGGAAAATCAGGAGGGCAAAAACAGGATAGGAGATAGCTTTGGCAAATAGGGTTGAGGAGAATCCAAAGGGATTTTATAAATACATTAAGGACAAAAGAGACTAGGGAGAGAGTAAGGCCCCTTAAAGATCAGCTATGTGTGGAACCGCAGAGATGGGGGCGATGAGTGTTTTGCATCAGTGTTTACTGTGGAGAAGGATATGGAAGATATAGAACATGGGGAAATAAATAGCGACAGCTTGAAAAATGTCCCTATTTCAGAGGTGGTGGTGCTGGACATCCTAAAACACAAAAGTGGATAAATCTCTGGGACCCTATCATATATACCCTAGATCTCTGTGCTAGAGAAGGGATTGCTGGGCCCCTTGCCGACATATGTGTATCATCGATAGCCACAGGGAAGTGCCTGAAGACTGGAGGTTGGCTAACATGGTACCACTATTCAAGAAAGGTGGTAAGGAAATGCCAGGGAACTACAGACCGGTGAGCCTGACATCAGTGGTGGGCAAGTTGTTGGAGAGAATCCTGAGGGACAGGGTTTACATGTATTTGGAAAGGCAAGGACTGATCACGGATGGTCAACATGGCTTTGTGCATGGGAAACCATGTCTCACTAATTTGATTGAGTTTTTCGAAGAAGTAACAAAGAGGACTGATGAGGGCAGAGCAGTGGACGTGATCTAGTTGGGCTTCAGTAAGGCGTTTGACAAGGCTCCTCGTGGTAGACTGGTTAGCAAGGTTAGATCACACAGAAGAGAGGGAGAACTAACCATTTGGATGCAGAACTGGTTTGAAGGTAGAAGGCAGAGTGTGGTGCTGGAGGGTTGCTTTTCAGATGGGTGACCTGTCACGAGCAGTGCACCACAAGGATTGGTGCTGGGTCCACTGCTTTTAATCATCTATGTAAATGATTTGGATGTGAACATGGGAAGTATGATTAATAGGTTTGCAGATGACACCAAAATTGGAGGTGTAGCGGACAGCGAAAGTTAACTCAGAGTACAACAGGATCTAGATCAGATGGGCCAAGGGGCCGAGCAGTGGCAAATGGAGCTTAATTTAGATAAATGTGAGGCTCTGCATTTTGTAAAGGCAAATCAGAACAGGACTCATACACTTAATGGTAAGGTCATGGGGATTGTTGCTGAACAAAGAGACCTTGAAGTGCAAGTTCATAGTTCCTTGAAAGTGGAATCACAGGTAGATAGGATTGTGAAAGCAATGTTTGGTATGCTTGCCTTTATTGGTCAGTGCATTGAGTATGGGAGTTGGGAGGTAATGTTGCAGCTGTACAGGATATTGGTTAGGCCACTTTTGGAATACTGCATGCAATTCTGGTCTCTTTGCTATAGGAAGGATGTTGTGAAACTTAAAAGGGTTCAGAAAAGATTTACAAGGGTGTTGCCAGGGTTGGAGGGTTTGAGCTATAGGGAGAGGCTGAATAGGCCAGGGCTATTTTCGCTGGAGCGTCACAGGCTGAGGGGTGGCCTTATAGAGATTTATAAAATCATGAGGGGCATGCATACAGTGAATAGCCAAGGTCTTTTCCCCAAGGTAGGGGAGTCCAAAACTAGAGGGAATGGGCTTAAGGTGAGAGGAAAAGGATTTAAAAAGGACCTAAAGCGGCAAGTTTTTCACGCAGAGAGAGTGGTGCATATATGGAATGAGCTGCCAGAGTAAGTGGTGGAGGCTGGTACAATAACATTTAAACAGCATCTGGATGGATATATGAATAGGATCGTTTAGAGGGATATGGGCCAAATGCTGGCACATGGGACTAGATTATTTTAGGTCATGTGTCAGCGTGGACGAGTTAGACCAAAGGTTCTGTTTCCGTGCTGTACAACTTTATGATTGTGAGATAATCGTTGATTCATCGCCATTGCTTCACCAACTATGACATACCATTATCTTGAATGATGCGTTTGAGGTAGTCTGCCATCAGATTTTTCAGTGCTCTCTTATACGGCAATCCCAGTCGATGTGGAAATACAACTGCTGTGTCAATCACTGTGCTATGAATAAGCTGAAGGCGAAAAAGGTGATTGTTTTACTGTCTATACTGCAATTTCCATTTATTCCTATATAATGGGAATCATTTTATTTTAAACTTTCCAACCATGTTTAGTTGAAATCTTCCAACAAATTAAACTTAACTGTATTAACCAAATAAACACCTTGCATTAAAGATGCTTTCTAAATGCAATAAAAATTTCCTAAAAGTGTGTTTCACATGAATCTTAGCAAGCATAATTTGACACCAAATCTCATGAGACATTACAATATTTAAGTAACCAATAGCTTAATCAAAGTAGCCAATTTTAAGAAGCATCTTAAAAAAAAGAGGGGGGACATGTACGGATGTTTAGCAAGTGAACTCCAGAGCTGTGCACTCAGCCAGCTGAAGGATGTAGTGATTAAAATGGAGGACATACAAGAGGATTGGGGAAAGCACAGTCCACCATTATTTGAGGAAATTACATAGATAGAAAATGGGCGGGCCAAAGAGGGATTTGAAAACATGGTTACGAGTTTTACAATTGATACATTTGCATTGCCTGACAGGGAGCCAGTCAGCGAGCTCAGGGCTGATGGATGAAAATGATTTGGTATGAGGCTACAGGTAGAACTTAGGATGATCTCAAGTTTATGAGAGCTGGAAGATGAGAAGACAGCTAGGAGATGATCGGAATGGCTAAGACCTGAGGTGACAAATAAATGTTTTCACCAGCTGATAAATTCTGGACACAGAAGGAGCCTCGCAATTATAGTGGTGGAATCAAATAGTTGAGGCCAGAAGCTCATCCTTGCTAAACAGAACTCCAAGGTTGTGGACTGTCTGGTTCAGCTTCAGAGTCCTGAGCAGGGGTTGGAGATAGTAGTAAGTTGAAGGAGTTCTTGGCAGGGATCAAAGAAATTGGTTCAATTTTCACTATTACAGTGTGAAAGGATCAGCCATAATGGAAGGGCTAGAAAGAGGAGGTAGTGACATTAGTTACAGCTGGGTGGTGAGAGAATGCAAGATGAATCTGATGTATTTTTGGACAATGCACTGTTAGGCTGAAAGTTAATGGGTCCTTTAAGGTCTGATCAAAATCAATGCAAGAAGACACATGCACTTCAACGTATAGCTAATTTATTGGGTTAAAATGCTTAATACACATGAATTAATAATTGTTATAATGTCTATGTATCAGTAGTATAATCTAAAATTAGGTTAAGCAACTGAGATTAGGTTAAACAAGTGAATCTCATACTGTCTTTCTATCTGTCAGGGACTTTGGCAATGGTGGCACTTACAGCTTTATCTCAGATCCCACAGCACAAATCATGCGAACCCCAGCCCGACGGTGTGACATTCGATGAATGGGGAAAACTCCCCGATATTAAAACTGTTTTGAATCTAAGGTTACATACTGAATCCCCATTTTGTAATGACTTCAGTATTTTTCCTTCAATAATAGGTGGAAAACAAATCGAGGTGGCCTCATGTAGACCACACAAGCAGGTGGTTCCCAACAACATTCAAGGTCAGGCAGTTTCACCACCCAGTCCAAACAGGCTCTTTTTGCATTCAGCCTGTTTTCATGTACTTTTCCACTACAACTGCTCATTGTCCAATTATGTCTGACCAATTAACTCTTAAAGGTCTGATTTGAAGATAACAAGGTGTAGAGCTGGATGAACACAGCAGGCCAAGCAGCATCAGAGGAGCAGGAAAGCTGACGTTTCGGGTCAAGACCCTTCTTCAGAAAAAGATTATTTTTAAGCCCTACACTACAGACGATGCTGCTGAGATGGCAGGTACATTAAAAATATGAGGGTGAAACATTAGATCCTTGGGGGATTTCAGTACAGAAATCAGAAGAGAACCCGTTGTAGATGATACTTTACCTACAACTAGATAGGTAAGACATATGCAAGAGAAGTAGTCCTTTCAAACTGGAAGATATGGGCATACATTGGGACAGTCAACTGTGGCAAAGGCTATAGAATAGGTTCTGACAAAGAAGAAGAAATCGTTACCACGGTCACATGCACACTGGATGTCACATTTTTAAAAAAAAAATGCATACCTTTAGTGCAAATAAATCACTTTCCAAGCTGTGCCCAATTAATATGGTTGCAGCACTGAACATGTTCAGTAATACTGCCTGTACATCACGAATAGTGATTGTCGTACTCTCCATATCCTCCTCTGTTACACCAGAAAATCTACATAAATAAAAGAAAAAGAATGTGCTGTCTCACTAATAAACACAGCATCAATGTCAATGTCTATGTTAAAGAAACACCAGGTCAAAATAGAAACACTTTCTTAGGCTCAGACTGCCATATGGTTTGAAAGAACCACTGACTTTGCAGTAGAAAGAACTCGTTCATCTAATTACAATATGTTATCGCTTTGATCTGTTATACCCACCCTGCACATTATCCATCAGAATAGAGTTGGAGGAACACAAAGCTCCCTGAAGGTTGTCAGGCTGAAGCAGTAACAATGTTGGGTGAAGGTGAAGCTACTGGTGGATTCAACAAAATGATAAAAGACCTGAAGTAACAGCATTGCTGGATCCAGAGCTGCATGGAACAAGGGCAGTGGGTCAACAGGATTTGAGATTGTTAAGATATGGCCAGCAGAGTTTTGGAAGAATTCAAGTTTATTAAGGGTGAGAGATGGGATGATGTCCAGGAAAGCATGGAGTAACCAACAGTGAAGGTAACAAAAGTACAGCGAGTTAAGCTGAGGGAGGGGAAATGACCGGTGATGTGATTGAGGTGGAAATAGGTGGGCTTTTATAAGGGTGAGAGAACAAAGGTGTTGAGTCAAGGTCAAACAGCACATCAAGATCAAGAATAGTCAAGTTCAGCCTTGGATACTGGATAGGGAGGAAAAGTAAATTGGTGACAAATAACGATCACTCAGGTAAAGCAAGTTTAACACAATGGATGCTAAAATTTTTACTCTTAAAAGGAATAATGTGTATTCAGCGCATACTTTGAATTCTGACAGTAAGTCAGCATAATTAAACATTTAAATGTGGCCGACTGAAAGGCATGTTCACATTTCATATCAGAGATAGTAGGAACTGCCGATGCTAGAGTCTGAGATAACAAGGTGTAGAGCTGGATGAACACAGCAGGCCAGGCAGCATCAGAAGAGCAGGAAAGCTAACGTTTTGGGTCTGGACCCTTTCTGAAGGGCTCTACACCTTGTTATTTCACATTTCATATCTTCTGTTTTCCTTCAAGAATTACCCATTTTTACCCAAAGTACTTTGCCCAAAAGAAAACTGGCCCAGGGTTATTTAAAAAGGATAAATATTTATATTTTTTCTATACTATATGAACAATTTCCAGAAGGCATTTGATAAAGTGCCACATAGAAGGTTACTGCAGAAAATAAAAACTCAGGTGTACAGGCAGGATTACCGTATGAATAGAAAATTGGCTGGCTAACACAAAGTATAAAATAGGCATAAATTGGTCTTTTCAGGTTGACAAGGTGAAATGAATGATGTGCCACAGAAATCAGTGCTGGAACCTAAAATGCAACTGGTTCTTGGCAGTGATCCACCTTATCAAAGTCCATAATTAACTACAAATGGCAGTAACTAAAGACAGAGAGTTTCTAATGACAAACTATGTGCACCAAGATACTAACAGTCCCATATTTTAATCATTAAACATACCTGGTGTTATAATCAATGACCTTGTTGTCTGGTTTGACAAATGTATCATACACCACCTTTAGATCCGGGTTGATAACAGTCAATCTGGTCAACTCCAAACCTTGTTTTGTGTAGCACTGGAATAAAGTTATTGATTATTAACTACAGAGAGAAGGGAAACTACAACAATGCAAAATGTAACATTACTGTAAATTGGTACACAACTACATCCATGTTAAATTACACAAAATGACAAAATTATATTTCTGACAGTTAGAATAGTGACAGAAATGCAGGATGGATAACCTTTTGGAATGTTAAAGTTGAACAGACTGTAATACTTGCGAATGACATTGAACAGGGCACTCAAGCAATATAATTCAGGACATCCACACCACACTGCTAACAGCATGAATATGCACCTTCCTTGGAATCCTGTTCTAGCAATCTGTTTGACAAATAACCCGAATTACCACCCAAACTAATGGATGAGTATATCAGAAGTCAATAATCATGACGCAGGTTACTAATCCCATGTTTTTTACATTATAAATTGTGCTAATCTATGATGATACTACAGCTTTAAGAGGTGTATTTTGTCCTTTTTTTTTAAAAATGAGGAAAGGTTGAAACAGAGGTGGAGAGCAGTCTGCTTGAACCCAGAAGGTAAATAAACAGCTTGAGGGTTGTTGGGTCTTTTTAAAAAAAGTTGAAATTATCGAAGCAGCCTGAATGGGTGAGGTCAAGCTCCCACAGAACCAGGATTTTTAGTTTTATATTCAGCAGTTGATGGTTCCTGAAGCTGGATGTGGAAGCTCTTAGTCCTCTCTCTGATACAGCTAAAAGTTGGGTTCTCTTCCTGCTGCTAGAATTGCATGAGAGATAACTTTTTTATTGAATTTGCCTTTGCCAAGGGTGTCTTTATGGGATGTTCCTATATTGGAACAGTTAACTAGTAGTGTGTATATACATATATACATGGATTATTTTGTTAAGGATTTCAATAGAGTTACAGTTATGCCAATTCTTTTTTTCTCTGCCAGGACTATTCTTTTTCTTTTTTCCTTGCCATTGCCTCTAATTCAAGCTGTTTCATTTGCAAAATAATTTTAGCAATGTCCAATGATTCTGACTGCATGCCTGGCAATTGTAAATGTAAAGCTATTGCTGCAACAATTTCCCCTTTCCTCACAGGTAAAGGCAACTTTAACCTCAACTTGTTTGCCAATTTTGAAAGCTTTGCCATGCTCACTTTCTGTAAAACGTCTGGAGTGACTTCTTCCACCGCCAGGAAACTCTTAGCGACTGAGAGAGCCATTATTATTAGGGCACACCCTGTTTAAACCAAGCAAATGCAAAACCCAAGATAAAAAAACAAACACCAACACTCACTACTGAGTGCCTTTGAGTCCAATAACCCTAAACTCAACCTGGAATTAGAGATGTTGAGCCCCCTCAAAACATATTAAGAAGATAGTTTAGACCCTAACTTTTTCATGTTTTAAAGGTAAGTGCAATGTATTGCATTCCAAATACAATTTGATTGGTTAAACTTTAAGCAAAACATACTTTATTTTTACATTACAATTAAAATACAGACAAAATAAAAATAAAAGAATTGGCTGAACTGTAACTATCAAAACACTTAACAAAACCTTATCTTATATATAGATAAAACTACTGCTAATTACCTGCTCCAATGTAGTAACATTCCATAAACATACCCTTGGCAAAGGCAAATTCAGTAAAACAGATGGTCTCACATGCAATTCTAGCAGCAGGAAGAGAACCCCAGCTTTTAGCTGTAACAGAGAGAGGAATAAGAGCTTCCATATCCAGCTTCAAGACCCCACCAACTGCTGATAGCTAAAACTAAAAAAATCCTGGTTCTGTGGGAGCTTGACCCCACCCTTCAGGCTGTTTCTACTATTTCAACTTTTTAAGAAAAGCCGAAGGCCTCACAAGTTGTTTAACTCTATTGGCTTCAAGCAGACTGCTCTCCCCACCTCTGTCTCAATCTTTCTTCATTTAAAAAAAGGACAAAATACACCTCTTAAAGCCATAGTACTGTCACAAATGCAATTGTTGATTGGGCACTCATACTCAAAAAATCTTTTCTAACCTTATGATCAGCTCAACATGCCAGTGCATTTATCTTGTTCCATTCATGGCTCTCAACCAAAAATCCAGGATGTTGATTACTGTGCAGTCATTTAAATTGTTCTTGGGTACTGAATAATAATGCACAGCAGTACACGAAGGATCCTTTCTAGTGTTGCCTTTCAGTCTCTGGGTTTCATTAATCATGCAAGAAAAACTGACTTTCTCCCATGCCTTTGCCAACCAATGCTGGTATGTATCATAGGCCAGGCCTTATTCTTCCTGCCTACACAAAGCTTAAACCAGAGCTAATTGTAGGAATTCAGCTGCATAAAAGATAACCAGCAAAAACACGTATTTTTATTTATATATAATATACACACACACATACAGAGGAAGAATAAAGCAGTACATTGACATTCCTTACCATTTCACAATCCAATGCAAAGATACCTGGGTTTTCATCCGGTGGCATTTCTTTATCAAACGTCTTCATGAAACCAGCTAAATTTTCTTTGCGACCATCCTGTACATGTTGCTGTAGAAAGAATATAAATCAATAATAATATAAATGTTTAATAAATAGTTACAGGGAAGGACCAAAATGGATTTGGCGTACAATTATACAATCTTCACTCGTTTCTGAGTAAAGTGCCCCTCTGGCAACTGTCTTCATTGCTAATGGCATTAACTGCAGCAATGTAAATAAATTATCCTTAGTTTAAAATTACAATAGGGATTGAAATGATAGTCATAAGTTCCCACCATAATTTACTTATGTAAATTTGGGCAGAGAGAAGAAGCACAGAGCTGTAATGTCACTGGACTGGTAATACAGGTTAATGTTCTAGGAATCTCACAATGGAAGATGGGGAAAACTCGAATTCTATGAATAAACCTGTAGTTAAAAGCTGGTATGAAGGCGACGATATAACCCCTGTGGATTGTTGTAAAAACCTATCTGGTTGGCGAATGCCCTTTAGGAAAGGAAATCTGCCATCCGTGGCCTACATGCGACTCCAGATCCACAGCAACTTGTTTGACTTTTATTTGTCCTCTGAAATGGCCTAGCATACCACTCTGTTCAAGTGCAATATGGATGGGCAATACATGCAAGTAATGACAGAAACGTCCACTTACTGTGAATAAATAATAAATATGTAAATCAACCATCATGGGTGAAAAGCGTGCCTGATTGGTCTCAATTATTAATGCCCACTACTGTTCTGATAATTTCTGCGACAGCTGGTAAATTCAGATGTTAAACAGTCAGGGGAGTTATGCTGTCACTACATCACAATGGTGACTGCAATTCAAAAATACTTGCCTGTATGTGAAGTGTTTGGAATATGGTGGCTGTGAACTATGCTACATAAATGCATGCCCTTTCCATTCAATTACTATATTATCGCATTCAAACATGGCATCGTGAAAGAAGACATAAGAGTACATGCTAATGACAAGCAAAATACTGCAGATGCTGGACCTCAGAAACAAAAACAAAGTGCTGGAGAAACTCATCAGCTTCTTTGTAAGTATGATGTTCATGTCAGTGCTAGTCCAATAAAACAAATGGCCAAATAGCAAAAAAGTTGAGAAGGTTTTTTGACAGTGGCAAGTGGAGGCAAATGCATCCTTATAGCACTGGACACTAAACTATTAAAATGCAATCCAAAATCTAAGGTGTGACTGACAAGTTTAAATAAATAGCATAACCACTTGCCAAAAAACAAACAAAAAAAAAGAAAAAGTCTAATATGTACAGATTTCAGGCTTTTACAATGTTACTTGTACTGAGTACATCAGTTCATGTATTCTCTACTCAATTATTATTACACATCTTTATTACTGCCTGGTCAAAAAGGGTGGATTCTTGGACCATGGCTTAAAACACAAAGTAAAAAATATACTGCAACCAAATTCGTTCTAAAGTAACATTTTTGTAATTACCCAGTTTGTTGTATGCTATACAATGAGAGAGAGGAGAACAACAGACAAGAATAAACACTGTAGCCCCAAAATATAAAGGTTGCAAAACTGCAATGTGCTCAAGGGAAAAGGTTAACTGCAATTTGACAACCTTCATTTTTCTTAGGCACAATATTTATTCTTATAATGTCCTGGCAGCTCTCCATCTAAACAATTAAACACATTTTTATAAAACAGCAGCAGAGATGATGAACTGATATGAAAACTACTCTCAATCCCAAGGCCAGTGCTACAAGTTGAGTGGAATGAACATTCTGATCTGCAATTAATTTATATCAAATTACCACAGATATCTCAAACATGTTCATTAATCCTAATAGTAAAGGAACACATGATCTGTTGTCCTTAATCAGCTCTTGGTACCTTTGCTGTCTGACATCCTGCAGATCCTACTGCTCCTCCACAGCAACTATACTGCGTTTCCCAGCCACCGGGTACTGCAACATAAACAGCAAGATTAGAAAACGTTCTCATCCGATTACAAATGGAACAAGTTCTACAATACTATCTGCATTTCCATATTGCAACTCAAAGCTAAACAGCCTCTCATCATGTTGAGTGATAAGGAAGACATTTTTGAATGCATGCTCATTCAGTTCACCATAATGATGCAGCAACTGCCACAACATGAATGATTTACTGAAGAGTTAATGGCAAGGCATTTCTTTTAAAAATAATGGCATCTCCTGGATTTTGGCAGGCAAGGTCTTTGCTGTAATACAGTGTTAGGGGATCAAATGTAAAGAGAACTGGCAGCCATTTGGTGTTTGGTGCTTTCACCATGCCTACCATTATCCTCCTCTAATTGTTAGTTGTGTGTGGGAGCAGTTCAACTAATCAGGCATGCAAATTTCTCATCTGAATGGCAGAGAATTGCACCATGTTGGTGCAGCCCATGGTAAACCTCAAAATTTATTCAAGCGACTATTTCTGCCCTCGATTCTTTGACCTATGTTGTTGAGATGGTCCTAATAAGCAGGTTATTACAAAACATTTAGGTTTGGGTCACATCACAGCCCTTCTTTCATTCAAGAAAATTAAATCTGATCAATCCTGATCTCAATTACAGTGACACTGGAGTAGTTATGTAACATTGTAAAATTACCAAGTACATTAAGAATGTTAGTAATAATTTCAGGTTATGATTATATGCACTTTTTATGGAAATTGTAAACTAATGGTATTTATTATAATTTGTTTAATTTTGTTACAAATTGAATAGCTTACTTTTCAACCACCCTAAAATTCCAGTATGCACTGGAGAACACAAGTGATTTTTCCAGATTGCAGTTGGATAAAAGATCAGTGTTTTGAAAGGACACATACTGGGAATACTGGAAAGGAATTTCCAGGATATGAGAGTAGTCCATTAGGAGTGCGAAAAAGATACACAGGTTCTCTAGAATTTGATGTGATGTGATTGAAAGTTGTGTACAGTGGGAGTGCATAGACACGAGAAATTGCTACATGTGAGAACACATACTCCCAAGCCCAGAAAACAACATTAAGTTATTTTGTTTAAAGTAATTTAAAAAGCCTGAAGCTCTTGGGTCGTAATTGGAAGTTTGTCTGAAAATGTGGCACTGAGAACTTTCTACTGACAAAGGGAGAGTTTGAGGAGGGGTTTACTAAAATGGGCATTGGGACTGTATTTAAAGCAGCTGGGTAGGGATCTAATGGTGAAATGGAGTGAATGGGTAAAGGAGGATAAAGGCTCTTATTTCACTGTGCAGGCAATTACTTAATTCCCATCATTAATCCAAAAACACTTTCAAGGTCTCTCTTTTACAACAGATACATTCATCTACTGTTTTAATAATGGTTAAAAAGTAGTATTGCATTAACCAAGGACTTAATGGTTAAAAACTGTTCCAGTTAACGATTATTCAATGAGACACGAGTCTTTTCTCTGTCTTCAAGAATTACAGATTATAATAGTATAGTACCAATGTTTGAAAACAAGCAAGATTAGAACCTTAAAATTGAAATTTTGAGCATTAATCAGCAAAAATGGCAGAGGGTATTACTGATCATTTGAAGCAGAGTCCATTTCAGTGTAGCAAGCAAACTAAAGAAATTGGTCACTAGGGTAGATGTAAAGAAATTATTTTCACTTGTATTCACTAATAAATCCAATAGTGAACTCAAGTGAAACTTTTTCCATTTAAAATGGTCAGACAATGGAATTTTCTATTTTTAATCAACATGTACAGACATATGATGACATATATTTGGAGCAGCTGGGACTTCGAACCCAGTCCTTTGGTCCAGAGGTAGGAACATGATCTCTTCACCACAATAGTCTGAACATGATATTGATAGGGTTAGATGAAATAGGTTGGAGGAAGTTCATACAGCACATAATCACAAGTCCAATTGTTACAAATGGTCTGTTGTGCTCTATATCCTAAGTGATTAGGAACATTGGATCAAATTATCAACTTCTGCTCCTAAATCCTTTAAGCCTGCCTTGCCATTCAATAAGAACATGGCTGATCTGTTTGTGGTCTTGACTCCTACTTTGTCAGCCCCGCCATTATTAATCTTTGTAACATGTTAACTACAATGTGCTCATATGAAGGAAGATTGCTAAACCTGTCACAGCAAAACAAAAATCTGCCCAAATATTCACTGGTACAACATAAAATCTGGCCATGTTAAAAAAAAACTTTTTTTATAATTATTATTTCTTGAATTACAATATCAAACTCACTTTTTTGTCGGCGTAACCGTCCCCAGTGGTAATTGCACTCTTCTTTGCGGATACAATCCCCGCTAACAGAAACACTGTATTCAGCTCCGCACCGACAGCAAACCCTTATTAAAGCTAAATGTAAAAAACAAACTTGAAATATCTGCACATTGCTTGACAATCAAGTGCCAATTCATAAAGTCAGCTACACGGAATTTCCCACAATTACCATCATAGATCCTTTAAAATATTTATTAGGTCAGATTTTCTCACTTTTTGAAAGCATGCTTCCACAAATTCTAACATTCTGCAAGTAGATAAATGAAAATCAGTTGGATCTTCAATTAAGTGAGGCATCACACCAAGTAATCCAATCACCCTATATCCAAATACTTGCACCTTCCAACAGAGGCCAGTGGACAGAAATTACAAGCAGGGAATTGGAAAACTTGTCTTTCATAATCCAAGGGTACTAAAGATATTTGCAATGCTCTAACTGCTACCCCAGACTGAAAACAGCTAACTCAGCACAGTCAAATTGTGGAAGAGAACACAATTTGACAATGCTTAAGCTAGACTCTTAAACCATATATAGGTTGCACCACTACAATATATTATAAAGCATCATACTTTCCCTCTCTCATTTCATTAATAACTCTGCTACTATGAAGGAACACCAAGTTCTCTAATTTATCTCATCCAAAGACAAAGGAGTTCTATTTGCTAATAATGCATTTGATTTTGGAATGAGCCAGAATTGAGCAATACTTATCATTAGCTGCCGGCAAGAAACTGGAAACCCAATGCTAAAATGTCAAAGAAATCAAAGATGCACTAAACAAACACTCTGACCTGAAGATTAGCAGAATGCAAGAGTTCCATTTTGGGGCTTATTAGAGCAAAAATTGCCACAGCACTAGTTAGGTGAGAGGGGCCAGGGTAACGCATCAATATTAACTTTTAATTTGATTTAAAAATTTAATATTTTTGCTGCCTCAATTAAAAAAGAAATTCGCTGTCCAGAGACTTTGAAAAAGATAGGTTATTGAAGTTGCCTCCATTTGGCAAGGTAGGAATATGAACTCATCCTCGTATAAGGATTCCACCAGATTGTGTGCAAACGTTGGTGTCCTCTACATATTTTATAGGTCATTGCAATGTGTTGGAAATATGCTGTGAGGGATATATTTAAGCTGTTATGGTTTAGACCTAAATGTTGGACAAAGTGTCATTTTATGTGTTTTTACTTCAACATATTACTGCATGTTACTATTACATTTTAATATATTTAATCAGTTTGAGAGAGTCTGGACCTCCTTGCTTATCAAGTAATTGGGTTATCACACAGGCCTAAGTTGTGCAATAACATGGTCAAAAGAGTTATTGTTAATCTTGTACCGTTTAATTTTATTCAAAATTACACAAGTTTTAATTCAGAGGGAAAAAAAATAGGTCTACTAAATCAGAATTTCCTACTCAAAAGTCATAAGAGTTGTTTATTACACTGAAGGAGTACAAAGAGAATGAAACCCTTGCCTATTCTAAGTTTTGAACCATTTAGGTTACTCAAGTCACACATTCCTACCATTAGACTATTGGAATAAATCTCATCTCCCTATTTGGACCATTTTTTGTTTGATACTTTTAAAAAGCAGTCGGCAAGTTTTAAGTATGTCAGCCAATTTTTTGAATAACATAGCTAGAAAACACAGGTCTTCTAAAATAACACTTTTCACCACGAAATATCATCATCACCATTCTCCTGAGCACAGTATGGACACACATCATTATCTACTTATACCAGTTGGAGGTGCAGAACTTCATCAGGAATTGCTTATTACAACACAACCCAATTATTGTTTGTCAAGTACAGATATGAGAGGAAAGGTGTAGACTGTCTACCTGTATCTGAAACAAAATTATCAATTTGTCTCTGGATTATACATAGGACTGTTAGTGGGTCTGTTGTGATCTGGGGCAGAGTATCCGATATTTCTTTGTGCACAAGATCCAATCTAAACAAGCTTCAAGTTCATCTCCAGGAGCTACTGTATTATTCATCTTCGAACTGCACACAACAAATGATAATTCTTGAAAGTTGATGAAATGAGAGTTAGCAGCACATTGAACAATAAGGGAACACTAATGCCAGAATATCCTTATGATTAAGTAATCCACATTTTGACTGCCTAAATCTTGCCTACCATTTACAAGCCACAAGTCAGGAAATGTGATGGAATACTTCCCGCTTGCCTGGATGAGCACAACTCCAACAACACTCAAGAAGCTCGATACCATCCAGGTCAAAGCAGCACTTGAGGCATTGCATTCACATGCAGCCATTCCCTTCATAGACAATGCTCAGTAGCAGCAGTGTATGCTATCTACATGACGCACAGCAGAAATTCAGCAAAGATCCTTAGACAGCATCTTCCAAACCCACAGCCACTTCCATCTAGAAGGATAAGGGCAACAGATACACAGGAACACGACATTGCATGTTCCCCTCCCACTCACTCTTGAACTGGAAACACATTGCTACTCCTTCACTGTCACTGTGTCAAAATTCTGGAATTTCCTAACAGTATTATGGTCGACTTAAAGCTCAGACTGCAGCAGTTCAAGAAGGCATCTCACCAGCATCGTCTCAAGGCCAACTAGGGTTGGACAATAAATGCTGGCCAGTCAGCAGTGCCCACATCTCAGGAAGGAATAAAAAGAACAAAAACCCTCCTGACAGACAATGGCCATTTCAGGAGACAAAATTCTTCTACCAATCATTCTTTCTGGAAAAGAAAGTTAACTCCTCTGGTGCATTCAAGATAAAATATATGTACAAAGAGGCTATACAGGTTTTCATATTTCTTAACAAGTTTTATTGCAAACTATCAATCACTAACTGATTTGTCAACACTTTGCATAATGCAATAAGCGAAGTTACAAGTCAATGCCATATCACTCAGTCTTTGGGTTATCCAACTTAGAAACATCTACCCTGTCAAGCCCCTTCAGAATCTTGCACATTTCAATGAGTTCACCCCTTATTCATTAGGGTTTATAAGAATGAAGAAACAAACTGTTCATCCAATCAAGAAGATAATCCCTTCATCCCAGGAATCAGTTTAGTTAATCACGTGAACTGCCAATATATCCTTTTTAAATATGGGGACCAAAATCATACACAATATTCCAAGTGCGGCCTCATCAAACCCTGGTTTCACAGGTTTAAATTAGCTGCCATTTCCTTTTTCCTATTATAATTGCCTCGTTGCATTCTTCAAAGGGTCGCATACTTACTTTCCTATTCTATATACGTGCAGAAGCTCTTGCTTTTTGGATTACCAATTTACTCCCTTTTTATTAGCTTTTCAATCTAAAAAAGTCCCAATCCTCTTGCTTACCATTAGTTTTCATCACTGTGTGCCTTAGTTTTTGATTGGATACTGTCTTTGAGCAGGGATATTAACCATGGGCAATTCATCCTCGCATAGAGTCCTTCTTTTTGATGGGAAATAATTTTTGCTGAGCATTATGAAATGTCTGCTTTATATTTGCTACTGCTCAGCTACTGACCCTCCCCTTAGTCTATTTTCCCAGCCCAGTTTGGAAAACTCTTTCATACCTCTGTAATTGCATTTATTTAATTAAAGATTCTGGTTGGAGTCCAGAGTGGCTCTCCCTCAAACAGCATTTGAAATTTTACTATGTTGTGATCACTATCCCCTACAGGGCCCTCAACTATGAGATCCCTTATCAATCCTACTTCATTCACATTGCTTTACCTAAACTAGCCTGTTCCCTGGTCAATTCTACAACAGACTGCTGTAAGAAGCAATCCTTGACACACCTGCTATAGGAAGGATATTATTAAATTGAAAAGGGTGCAGAAAAGATTTACAATGATGTTACCAGGACTGGAGGGTTTGAGTTATAAAAGGTGAGGCTGGACAGCCTGGGACTTTTTTCACTGGAATATCAGAGGTTGAGGGATGACCCTACAGGGGCTCATAAAATCATGAAGGGCATAGATAATTTGAAAATCAAAAGTCTTCTTCCTAGGGTAGGGGAGTTCAAAAGCATAGTTTTAAGGTGAGGGGGAAAGATTTAAGAAGGACCTAAGGGGCAATGTTTTCCACACAGCAGTTGATGTGCATATGAAATGAACTGCCAGAGGAAGTGGTAGGTGCAGGTACACTTACAACATTTAAAAGACATTTGGACAGGGATATAAATAGGAAAGGTTTAGAAGGATATGTGCCAAACAGGACTAGTTTAGTTTGGGAAATCTGGTCAGCATGGGTGAGTTGGACCAAGGGTCTATTTCTATGCTGCAAGACTCTGACAGTAGAGCCTGAAACATTCATTTTAAAATGTCCAGTTGACAACATCATTATTTACCAATTAGCTATAAAATGCAGCCATCCAACTAATAATGTCACAGGTCAAGCGATCTGGAAGAAAGCAACTAATTTAATTGAATGGAGCTTTTATCTGACCAAAAAATGTATTGTGGTTAAAAACACTATGCCCTGCTCCTTGGGTGCATTAAGTGTGAAGCAGGAATAAACAAGTTTTTCAAGTGTTTCATAGTATGGTCAATAATTTACCCTACAACAAAAAATTGAAGATGATGGCCCCTTATTTTTAAGGGATATAGATGATATTGATGTCTGCTGGTTATAAATGGCATTCTGCAAGTATGATGTGTCAGAAATAATTCAAAAGTGTAACAAAGGAGCTTGGAATTTATGTTCCTCAAATAACTGAATAAGACCCATTTCCAAGACAGAAGCAAAGACCAACATGGAGATTTGGATTAGATTTCTAGTCTAAAAGTAAAGAATTATGTATAAAAAGATTTAAGTACTTGTTGATAATGTAATTATATGTAAGGGTTTTAATAAAAAAAAGTCATGCAGCACGGAAACAGACCCTTTGGTCCAATCTGTCCATACTGACCATGATCCCAAACTAAATTAGTCCCACCTGCCTGCTCCTGCCCATATCCCTCCAAACCTTTCCTATTCATGTGTCTATCCAAATGTCTTTTAAATGTTGTAATTGTGTCCACGTCCACCACTTCCTCAGGAAGTGCATTCCATACATAAACCAATTTCTGCTGAAAAAATTTGCCT